CATTCTCTGAGATCTGAGAATGTGATTTGGTGATGGTAAATTTCCCAATATCCAAGCAGTTTAATATAGAGGAAAGCTTTTAAATGAATGGCAGCACATCCTATTTTAAACTTTAAAAATTCATTGTTTGCTCTTTTGATTTTAAAATCTATGTATTTCTTCCACGACTACTTTCAAATTTATGCTGTATGCAAAAAAATTCAGTCTTTGATAATTCGTATGTCTTTGTACTCTCAGCGGGTGTGAATCCACTTCAGCTGCAGAACCTGGCCACATTAGCTGCCGCTGCGGCTGCAGCTCAGAGTTCTGCCAGCCCAACTTCCACCAGCGCTCTGTCTACAAGCAGCAGTGCCCTGGGAGCACTTGCCAGTCCAGGTAATTAAACACAAAACATGAGATGAATTTTGAATGCTGCCTGTACAATACATAAAACAGTTCTGTGAGTCGAGCCCCATAACAGCATGGGGACTAGTTAGTTTTGTTAGGGGTGTGTTTTGGCATGGCCTGGCTGTAATTGCTTGAGTCACCACCTCTGCTCTTTGTGTACTAATTCATGTATAATATATTAACTAAAGTATAAAGATTCACTCTCTCGCTGATTGAGATGTACAGTGCATGTCCACAGTCGGGCCGCTTCTCTGCAAATCTCCCTCATCTACTATTTGCCTAACAGCCCTCAGCCATTCCTCATTTACTTTATGGGAGTTAATCACCCACATATAAAAATTTTATGAGAGCCCCCATTTCCCTTCAATCTGTGTAAATATACATTGGCTCCATCTGTCTAAGTTTAACATATGGCTGCTTTGGTAATGACCGCTCCTCTTTGTGAGACAGATTTTTAACTGCCTCATCTCTGCCATGTCCTCCTCTATAACCATAACAATGGGAGGCAGATGTAAGGTTTTAAGAATCTTTTTTTAATTTCTTTATTTATTTTTTTTTGTCATTTGTCAACAGTTGGGTCAACAGCAGGGTCCAGTGCTGCCGCTGCCGTGAACCCCTTGGCATCTCTGGGGACTCTGCAAGGTCTCACTGGGACCTCTGTGGGCCTCAACAACCTTAACGCTCTCACCAGCAGCGTCAGTGGTGAGAATCTTCTTATTTAAAAACTGGATAAAAGCCAAAAAAAAGGAAGATGCATGTTGATGTTGGGTCCCCACGCTCAATGGGTACTATTAAACTTCTGCTTCTTACAGGTATGGGGGCCATGAACGGGGGTCTGGGAGCCTCCATGGCCAACGGGTCAGCAGCCAGCTCTATGGATGCCCTAACCCAGGCCTACTCAGGGATGCAGCAGTACACAGCGTCTGCCCTGCCCGCCCTCTACAGCCAGTCTCTCCTTCAGCAGAGTGTGGCTGGCAGTCAGAAGGAAGGTGAGAAGATCCCTGGCACACATCACTCAATATGATTTTTCAGAAGTTTCTTCCTAAATGCAATGAACTTTTATGTTTACAGTAAATGTTTTGTGTGCATTTGAATTCACGTCTAACTAGAGTATCTGAATTTCTTACCAAATGGAGTAGGGCCAGAGGGCGCCAACCTGTTCATCTATCACCTGCCCCAGGAGTGTGGGGACCAGGATCTTCTGCAGATGTTCATGCCTTTTGGAAATGTGGTCTCTGCCAAAGTTTTCATTGACAAACAGACCAATCTGAGCAAGTGCTTTGGTAAGTGTGGTGACACTGCTGGCGTTTCCCTGGTTACATCAGTTAAGATGTTAAGGTTTTGGGTTTTTTTTTTCCCTCCATTTGCACTACCTTAATTGCTTTGTTTCACTGCAGATTTAAAGTTTAAATGGCATCTAAGTGCTCAGTAAACATGTTGATACTTGTATTTTCTATGTAAATGGATTAGATACATGTATGTATGACCGGAGGTAGTATTAAATATCATTTGCATTAGTGTTTTACTAAGTGCAAGCAGTACACCAGTATTGTGATGTAACACCACCTCAAATGCAAATTTAAAGTAGTGAGTGAAAATGGTGCAAAAATTGAAGAGGAGTATGTAATAATGCACATGCTTTTGTGCATTACGTTAACATGGCTAAGTCGCAGTTCACTATCAAAGTGCTAGAATAAAGATAACTCTGACTGTAGTTGAGGGGAGCTGAATAGTTTTATGGCCTTGGGGACAGAAGATCGTCAGTCTCTCTGTCAGAGCAGGTTTGAGGCAGCAGTCTGTTGGACATGCTGCTCTTCCTGCCCTCTACATCTCAGATTCACAAGGCAGTATTTATAGTTGTGACCCTTCTCTCTGACATTAACTGGCAGAGAGAAAAATAAGAGCCAGCTTTCCTCTGCAGCCTGTCCAGCCACATGGTGTCCAAATATGTGTAAAACTAATGATGTTATCTTGTTTAATTTCCCCTTAAAAACAAAATAAATTATACAATACACTTTTAAGGTATAAATTACAAAAACACCCAATGCAGCAAATATGATTCACATTTAAACTTTGATATGGAAATTATTTTGTACATTTTGTCAGAAGGTTCACTAAACACTCAGTTTACCTAAAATTAGATTTTTCTGGTAGTTATTTCATGGTTTGTGCTTTTAAAGGGAAAAATGGCAACCTCTCCTGTCACTTCCTCATCCTGTGGATGGACTCCAGCTTTCCTGTTGTGAACTGCAGGTAGTGACTGCAGTCCTTGTTTTGCTCTGCTGTCTGTTTGATATAGAGGCACGTGAACCAGTACTCCACCTGCTGGAGGTTCTGGTTAGTGGCTCTTAAACTTTTAGTGGATTTCTAGAGCAGAAAAAGAACTACATTCACCATGTGCAATCCATGATGGTGAAGATGGAGTCTGTCTGGCCACAGGAAGGGAGATGCCAAGGAGAGGGGGTGATGGTCAACCTGGTGATATGGAAATAAAATGTTGGCATTAAGTTGCTGTTTTGTAATGTATTCAGTTTAGTTTTTCTTTTTTCTCAGGGTTCGTCAGCTATGACAATCCTGTGTCTGCACAAGCTGCCATCCAGGCCATGAATGGTTTCCAGATTGGCATGAAGAGGCTGAAGGTTCAGCTGAAACGCTCCAAGAACGACAGCAAACCCTACTGATCCTAGCCCCGGGGCCTTCCCCCTCCCCAGCTCTAAAGCTAGCACTGCTAGGGTAAGTTCACCCTCCAGCCACGGTCACCACAGCAGAGACTCAGTGGGGCAAGGGGACAGAAGCCCATCACAGGAGGGAGACTCGGCCTATTCCTAAAAAAAGAAAAAAAAATGTTTGCAATGATCTTTCCACATTTTTGCTGTATTTCATTCCTGCGGTTTTGTCATGTAATTTGAATCTGATTTAGTATTTTAATGTATATGATTATTTATGACTATCACTGGAGTCGGTGTTCGCTGGAGGTATTTTGTGTCACTGTATTTAGTGGAGAGCATCAGATATTTCCATGCCATTTCATTGCCTTCAGGTCAAGCTAGACAGGTTGACTAAGGATCAGTTGTTGTTTCTGAAGCTAGGTCACAAGGACCCCCGAACCCAGAGCTTTAGCCTGTGTTTGGCTGTTTACGTGCAGTTTGTCTCATCCGTATCATTTTCAATGTGAAACTCTTTTCTACGCTAGATTTTCCAGTCTTCACCACACCTCTCTTCTACCCCCTCCCCTCTGTTTCTCTCTCTGTCATCTTTCATTATCTAAGCCATGTTGAGCTAGGCTACCTCTCTGCGTCTTTATTAACAACCTCTTCCAGTCATTCCATCCATCCTCCAAGTCTCCCACAAGGGACTGGCTCTAGATGGATCTCTTTGGGTGCCAAGTATACAGTTTGTGCATGTTGGAGTCTCTGCCATATGTCCTGGTGGTGTCACTTCCTTAAATCTGTGTATTATTGTTTTGTTTTTGTTTGTTTTTTTTGTGCGTTGGGAGAGGGGGGTGTTTGCCCCTCCCCCCTGTTGTCCTTACTGTATATGTGGTGACTGGCATTATTTTTGTTTTTTGTGCCTCATGGCTAAATGATTCTTGTGCTGTGCCCTAACTTTCTCTTCTCTCCTCTTTGTCCTCTCTCTTTCTCTCTCTCCTCTCTTCCTTTTGTGTTTTTGTTCCTTTTTAGAACAAATCTCCATGCCTGTTTGCTCATCATTAGCCTAGCATGTCTTCATGATGTTGAAAGCCAAGCCAAACTCCTGGCCCACATCATCCCACCATTGTCTGTGATGTCTCTCTAAGCTCGCCTGACCAATACCTGGCCACCCACTGACCTTGACCTTAGCTCAACCTGATTTTTCTGCATGTATATTCATTTTTGTTTTTGTTTGCTTTTTCTGTATAGAAATGTGACGGGTGGGAGAGAGGTCAAGCAAATCAATGTGAAAACTTTACCTAGGTTAAGTTCATTTGAGTGACCTGTTTTTTGTTTTTGCGAATGTTTTAAAAAGAAAAAACCTGTGGGATTTCTTACTTTTAATTTAGCTTTGTGGGACTTTTTTTTTTTTTAATGTTTTTTCTTTTTACCTCTCTCAGTAAAGCTCACTTGAAAGTTGAATACAGGGATTGGCACACAGCTGTGCTATTTGGTGCCATTAGCAATATGTTGGCTTCTTAAAAAAATGCTACAGACCACTTTCCAACACTTTTGAAAGTCTGACCATTAAAATCCCTCTCAGTGCTCTGTAATGATCTCTACATTTTGCAGGCAGCGCGAAGATTTACACCAAGGCTATTTAAAAAAAAATAAATAAATTAAAAAAAAAAAAAAAATTCATTTATAAAAATATCCAGTGTTTTTCTTTTTCTTTGATTTCTTTTTGGGTTTTTTGTTTTTGAACTATTGATGGCACAATAAAAGGTACATTGCTCTGTTGAGAGAAATGACTACCTACATGAGTCAACTTTTTTAGAACTGATTCACAAATAGACAATCTGTGGTTTAAATGCACACTTAGATTAACTATATTTTATACCATTGAATCTATAGAAGTTTAACTAACAGAACCCAGGCAAAAACGTTGGGTTTTTTGTAGATTACGTTGTAATGTCATCTGTGTTTGGGCAGGGAGGGGGGGCAGGGGCGGGAGGGTCTTCAGTGTACTACATTTTTAAAGAGGACTAAAAATCTGTTTGATCAGCATGACCATTTGAGGGTCATTTCTAGTAAATTAAAAAGTTCAAAATTCCTCTGCTTTAATTGTAATTTTGTTTTCTGGTTTAAATTCTTTTTTTTTTTTTTCTTTTAAGGGTCATATTTTGAGCCTTCCCCCCCATTTTTTTTTTTTCTTTTTTATATCCCTGCTAAACTTCCATGGTACGTACATCTTGTCAACTTTCTGTGAATTTCTCTTTGCTAATTTAATTAATGAATTTTTCACTTTGGTTTTGTTTGGATGCCTCGTTGAGAGATGATTTACAATGTCTGTTAATCATACAGATGCCAGACAATGTTGTTCTGTTGGATTTTGTTGTTGAAGTGCCCATGTGTCAAATATTTCTTGCGCTTTTTTTTTTTTTTAAACTCACCACTTTGTTTGCTGTAATATTACCTAGTTTGTCTGTACACACACACACACGCTGCAACACATGCAAACACACACAAACACTCTTTCGTGGTTGCAAATGTGGGAGCCCCTGAAGAGGAGAAAACTCGGACACAACACGCAACCTGTGGGTCTCTGCACGTTTTGTTTTTCTTTCCTCTTTCTTTTAAAAACATGCACTCGTGTGATGCTCAAGAAGTCACACAGCACATTAAATCGACTTATTCCACCACAGTAGTGTTGGTTTACAAATAACATTCCATTTTTCTCAGCACGAAAGTTTACACTTTTTTTATCAGGGTGGCATTTTTGTGTGACGACCCTGGTAAAACAACCACTTCACCCTCCCCTTTCCCCCAAAGAAAGGGTTCCCTAAAACTGCGTACCTGATGGCGCTAAAGAGTTGTCAGCTCAGGGCTTCTTTTTTTTTTTTTTTTTTTCTTTTTTGTGTGTGCGTGGGGGGGGGAACTAGACACTGACGCAGGATTACCACACAAAATGCACCGTTAACCACCATTTGACTTTCTTTTCAGTTGGGATTCTTCCCCTTTTTCTCTAAACTTAAATATTCCTACACAAAATAAACAAAAGGAAGGTACCAAATTTGAACCGGTGCTGGAGGGGGGGTGTTATAGTTTTGTAAGGAGATGTTAAGCACAATTGTGGGAGCTAATCACTTTTGCAGAATGTCGTGTGTATGTGTGGTTACGATCCCAAATTTTTCCAAGGTACCACTGATTTCTCTTTTAATATGGGCATGTGCTTTTTACAGTATTTTTGTTTTGTTTTCTATCCAAATGCAATACAATATTCAAAGTGCCATATATACGTCTAGAAACTGCCTACACATTATTAGGCCTTGGTTTAGAGATTGCTGCAGTTCGCCTTTCTATTTTGTTTTGGGTTTGTTTGTTTTTTCTTTTGGGTCTATTTATGCCAGTGTCATGAAAGCTCTTGTCACCTGCTAATGTCTCCCCTTCTCCTTCGCCTTTACTGTGTTGAGTTATTGGTAAATGTGTATTGTGATGTACTCAATTTGAACAGTTGGTTTAAAACGTTGTAGATAAACAATAAACTTCCCTATACATTTGAAGGTTAAACGTCTTTCTTAGTGAGTGCGAGCGCGTGTGACACTTGGCGATACAAACCGTGGGGGATCACGCGTGTTTTGGTGGTGGTGGGATATTTTTGAATTTAATAAAACAGAGGTACAGTGCAGAAGAGTCAGTGTGGGTGCCATGTGTCGGCCACTGAAATGACTGCAGGTCTGTGGTGACGCAGTGCATGGTGAAGTGTTACTGTGAGTGAATATAGTTTAAAAAAACTTAAAGGGGGGGGGGGAATAAAGCACAATGTATAGTCCACAGCAGTCCCAACAGGAACTCGACTCACTTCAGGGGCTTCCATCACAAATCCTGATTAAGCTCTAACAATCACGGTTTCTTCTGTTGGTTTTCATATTCTGAAGTGCTTTTTTTCTTTTTTGTTTTTGACAGTGTGGTAGCTTTGCATCTCTATAGATATTGTCTTGATCTATAAGAAAAAGAGTAGAGAGAAAAAAAAACTTTTCTGTGTTATTTTTCTTGTCTGATAATCGGTAGGACTCTGTTCATGTTCCACCAATAATTTAATAGATGTTTTTGTCTTGTCTTGATGAAAGCCAAAGTGAGTGCATCTTGATGTAATCTGTATTATACACACAGTACAGTTATATATAAATATATATTTTTCGTTCTGTTCAATTACAAATTTTTGAAACTGGGTGGGATTTGAAAAAGACAAAAGACGAAAAAAGACATACACAGGCTGTCCAATTTCTACAACTGGTGGTTCATATGTATTTTGTACCCGTGAAGCTTTTTATATTGGAAATTAAAGGAAAAAAATCTATATTTGGGGGGGAAAATTGTCTGGCCTATCAATGTGGCCTTGGTCTGGAGTCTGGCCTCTTGCTGGTGTCAAGCAATTTTTTTCCCCTCTTGCTTTTGCCACTAAATGATGCCTGGTTTTTGATCTTCTTTATCCCCCTTGGATCTCTGTGTCCCTCACTTCATGAATCAGTTTCAGGGGAGGGGTGGGGTTAGGATCCTCTAAATTGTGGTAAGTTTCATGTTAGTATATTTGTGCTGTCCACATACTTTAATGGTCATCAGGATTTTTGACAACTTGTGTGGATAATTGTCTTAGTTGAAAAGGTAACTGTTTAATTTGAGCCTTGCTTTTTACCTGTGTGTAGTTTTGTTCTTTCCCATAGTGGAGTGCGTAGCTGAAAGACTGTTCTGTTTTTGTTTTCTTTTTTTTTTTGGGTCGATGTTTGTTTGTGTGGTGTGTTTCTTTGCCTCTGTCTCCGAATTAAACCATTTCCCCTAATATGGACTGTGTCTTTGTGTGTTGTGCTTGTCCGGTGTTGTAAAGGCATTGTACAAACCTCCACCCACCCTTCCCCAGTGTGTCATGTCTCGCTAACTTGTTCTCTTTGTTGTGCTTCTTTCTGCTTTTACCTGAGCTGTAACAGGTGGGGTGGGCAGGACGAGCCATATCATATTGTGTTGGGTTTTATCGGTAAAAGTACTACTGATCTGTGAACCTGCACCCAAGAGCCAAAGAAATGCAGGCACTTTAGTTGCATTTGTACAAAACATCAGTTCAAACTCAGATGTTGTGGTATAAAGAATGAGCAAGTCCCGTTAAACTGATTATTTTATTATTATTTTTAAAAATGCACAATTGCAGTACATCAATGAGCTTAGTTCTTAAAAGCAAAGATCTGAAGCAGTTTGCCTGAGATAAATGCAAATCTAGTTTTGTCCCCTCTTTTTCAGCTTCTCAAAAGAGGGTTATTTGCTGCACTGCTTTATATTGATTTGAAATGAATATACTTTCTCTCCACACGAACATGTCCAGTGTTTACCAAGAGTGGTCCACAAAATAGACTATCCATTGAGAGGCAGTTCCCTGGGTGAAACTGCATTGGAGAATTTCCAGACTGCAATGAAGGGAAGGCAACTGTAGTTCACCCGCCTGTTAGAACCAAGGTATGCAGAAGAGCATCTCTGAATGCACAACACGTCGAACCTTAAAGCAAAGGGGGTTGCTACAGAAGACCCTACCAAGGCCCAATCCTGTTAGCTAAGAACAGGTAGCTGACTGTCCAGAAATGGACAATAAAAGACTGGGAAAAATGTTGCCTGGTATGATGAGTCTTAATTTCTGCTGCAACATTCAGATGGTAGAGTCGGAACTTAACATAAACAACATTTAAAAGCATAGATGTCTTCTTCCCCTCCTCTTACGAACAACTCGGGCTGCTGCTACAGTTGGTGTAATTATGTAGGGAATATTTTCTTGGCACACTTTAGACCTTATTTATTTTTTGCTGATGTTCACTGTGCTTAAATAACCTCTACAGATTCCAGATCTCATTCTGGTACAGCTCCTTTTTTGATGTCATAGAACAGGTGCTTGGCATCATGAAAGTTCAGCAGCTGCACAATGTGGTGCTAACATGGACCAAAATCTCTGAAGAATGTTTCCAGCAACTTAAGTCAAGTCTATTGTTGTACTGAGACTGCTCCAAAATCAAATGGGGGTCCAGCCTGGTAGTGGCAAGGTGTACCTAATAAAGTGACCAACAATAGTATGTGATTTGGTGTTCTATTGGACAAAATATCCAATTTGAAGATGAAGCCATGGCATTTTCCTGTTTCCTGGTATGTTCTGTTAGTTGAGAAGACAAATACTTGAGGCTAAGTTAAAACATACATTCTAGAAAAAAGTCAGTATCTCCTTTTAGTAAATATAAACAAAACAAAACAATTGACCACAGACAAAAGCTATTGTTTCTTAAAAAGTCTCATCATCTCTAAGATTTCCCCCAAATCAGTAAAAGGTCACATCTTAAATCCTCCTTTAGTAACAGGACACGTTTATTTCCCAGAGTGTTAGGGAGTGAATTTAGCAGCATTACATTAGCAGTCTAAAGGCATACAAAGAACCTCAAGATCCAACTTGTTCTGTTGCGAAAATGGTGTGAGAGGAGAAACTGGCATCTTTTCCCATGTGCAGGCGTTTCCATGTTCTCAGTCATCAAACACACAGGATGTAAGGAAGTAGGATGTGACACGTCACAGTGCTGAGATGTAATGTGACGTAGGAAAGCACTTTCTGTACAGTGTAGCAAAGGTCTTTTCTATTTAACCATGAACTTCTGACGAGTTTAAAAATGGAACTTAAGGTAGTACAATAACGCCACCCAGTGGTGGAGATCCCTCTGCAGAAAATGGCAGGCAGTGAAACGATACATAAAGATGCTTTGGCATTTTGGATTAATACAAAACATAAGGGAAAATATAATAAGCTTAACACTTTGCAATTAAACTTTACATTTTCAATCATGCTTTGGTTGCTCTTCAGCTATCAGAAAATGTTGGTTCTTCTGTCGTAAAGTAAACCAGGTCTATGAGCTGTTCGAATAATCTGATACTGCTGGCGAAAAATTTAGGCTGTGTATAAAATGCACTGTTATTGAACTCCAGAGCTCTGGGGTCTTTAAATCTGATCACAGTTTATGTGGAAGATCCTGACGTTTGTGTCCTGGACTAATGAATGGTTGATTAGTCCTTATTAGCCATTATTTATTTAACATTAATTAACACAAAACATCAAAAGTTGCCTATTACAAACTGCTCGGTGCAGGAAACCTGTGTGTGGGACTTGTGCATGCGTTTCATGCACTCACTGAAATGGGAGCTCAGGTGCTGTTTCACTGTTTGGAGATTCCTACATGATCCATGAAAGACTAGCAGGTGTGGGAATCTGGGCAAATGTGGTGGGAACACAGGCATCTATTGTTACAGTGTCAAGGCTCACCTTGATCTCTGTCACCACTGGTTCTTAAAACACACAGACATGGCATACTGTCTCACCGTTTCAAAATCCCCCAAAACCACCATTTTCATTGATATGACCTCAGAACAGTCTCAGCATATTTAAAAAATTAAAAATAAATAAAATGTAGCAACAGTTTGATTTTACCAGTTAATATTTTTAGTTTTAGTGTTGGTGTTTTTAAATAATTTTATGGTTAAATATTTGTCATGGGATGTTTAAGAAGGTTAGAACAGCGATTTCAAAATGCACTTTTTAGTTTTTCTGACTTAGAACATTATAGACTTTCCAGTCTGTAAATATATATGAAACAGTAACTTTTTTTCCCCACGTGGTGTGGTGACAAATTCGACTGAAAAACCCAGCAAGTCTTCTATATTTTGTTTTAAGTCGTTTTGTTAGTATTTTTCCCGCAAAAGAGAAAAAAAAATCAAAAATAAAATAATAAATAAAAAAATAAATAAAACTTGTTGATTCTTTTCCCCACACCTATTTTCTTTCTTTCTTTCTTTTTAGTTATTTCAAAGTGTTTTTCATGCCTGAAATGCATGCTTTTATGAATTTTAAGTTCAGTTTCAGTTAATTATAATAATCTTGCTCTCCAGTGGTAATTACGATGTTTTAAGAAGTCCCTGAACTCAGCACATACGTCGTCGCTTGGACACCTGTTGCGCTACTTCACTTGCTTCTGAGATTTTAGCCATCTTAAAGACATCATAGCGCTGGCCCGAAATGTAAAAATGTAACCTCGTGTCCTACAGATTCAAACCTTGTGTTTAAGTAAAATTAAATACCATTTACTCGACTTAAATATCGACCAGATAAGCTTCAACCAATCGCCTGCCGATGCGACATCTCCTCCCATTAACGTGTCCCTCCTCCGGGCAGTATGGCTGCCGTCCTGTAGCCTGTTCTCAGATGTGTGCCCCTATCTCATGCGAGACTAAAGACCTGGAAACATGTTGGCCTTGATTTTGCTGAAAAGCTCGCTGAGCAGACTGCCGCAGAGCGTCGCTCGGCAAGTTGTCGGCTGCAGTTATCACACTGAGAGAGGTGTTTACGGATACCGACCCAAGAGGACCGAGCGGGACCAGAAGTGGCAGAGCGAGCGGGTGGCTGCACTAAATCAAGGTCAGTATGGAGTTAAATTACAGTACGGTCCCCTTAAGTTACCGTCGTTTAACATAGAGGCTCGGCAAAGACAGTTGCATTAACGCTTGTTTGTGGGGTTATTTTATTCCGCGGTATTTTTATACGAGTTTAAATGATATTCTGTTTAGGTGGCCTATCGTTGACTCTGGAAGCTGTTGTAGCTGTTAACTGCTGTGCAGTGAACGCGTCATTTATTTAATGTGAGCTTGCTGTCACGCGTTGTTCTCTTCTCTTGTGTTCAGATCATGCTCTAGCTAGACTGGTGGAGGCATACAGAGCACACGGACACAAGGCTGCTAAAA